GACACAAAATAATATTTACCAATATTTAAGAATGAAATAATTTTTTTTTCTGACCACAATGGTATGAAACTAGAAATTAGTAAGAAAAAGCTAGAAAGTCTACAAATATGTTGAAACTAAACAAACTTCTGAACAACCAGTGGGCCAAAGAAATCAAAAGGGAAATCAGAAAGTTAACTCAACTGAACATAATAATAAAATAAATAAAAGGAAACAAAGAAACTTGACTCAAAACAAATGAAAACGGAAAAACAACCGATCAAATCCTATGGGATCCTGCAAAAATAGTTCTGAGGAAAATTTATAGCAATAAATGGATACATTAAGAAATCAGATCTCAAACTAAGCCAACACCTCAAACAACTAGAAAAAGAACAAATTAAGTCCAAAGTTGTCAGAAGGAAGGAAATAATTAAGGTCAGAGGGGAAATAAATGAAAGAGGAATCAGAAAAACCGGAAAGATCAATGAAAGTGCCTTTTTAAAAACGAAATTGACAAACCTTTAGCTAAACTAAGAAAAAAGGACTCAAAATTAGAAAAGGAAGAGGAGATATTATAACTGATACACAAATATATAGAATCATAAGAGACTACTGTGAATGATTACATGTCAAAGATTATATAATCTAGAAGACCCAAATTTCTAGAAACACACAACCTATCAAGACTGAATTAGAAAAATCTGAACAAGCCAATAATGAATAAAGGGTTTAAATCACTTATCAAAAACCTCCCAATACAGAAAATCCCAGGACCAGATGTCTTCACTGGTGAATTCTACCGAACATTTAGGAAAAACATTAATGCTAGTTCTTCTCAAACTCTTCCAAAGAGGGGAAAAATGAACTGGAGGAAACGCTTCCAATCTCCTTCTACAGGGCCAGCATTAGCCTGATGCCAAAGCCAGATATGGACACTACAAGAAAAGACTACTATACAAGAATATTACTTATGAAAATAGATGAAAAATTAACAAAATATTAGGAGACTGAAATGAACACATTAAGATTATACACCATGATCAAGTAGGCTTTATCCCTTCAACTCAAGGATGATTCAACACACACAGATCAATAAGTGTAATATATCACTTTAAGAGACTAAGAGATAAACATATGATCATTGCAATAAATGCCAACAAAGTCTGTGATAAAATATCACATCTTTTTACAATATAAACCCTCAAAAGATTGTGTATAGAAGAAACGTACCTCAACATAATAAAAGCCATATATGACAAACTCACAGCTAACCTCATATTCAATGTTGAAAAACTGAAATCTTTCAAGAACAGGAAAAAGACAAGATTGCCCTCTCACTCTCACCTCTCTTAATACAGTACTGGAAGTCCTAGCTCGAGAAATTAAACAAAACCAAAAAAATGGCATCCAAATCAGAAAGGAAGAAGTAAAATTTCACTATTTGCAGTTGATATTTTGTATATAGAAAATGTCAAAGACTCAACTAAGAAACTATTCAAACTAAGCAACTTCAGTAAAATTCCAAGATATTAAAAAAACACACAGAAATCATTTATGTTACTATACACTAATTATGAGGCATCTGAAAAATAAAACTATCCCATTCACCATAGCACCAAAACAATAAAATACCCAGTAATACATTTAACCAAGTGTAAGATCTGTACAATGAAAACCACAAAACTTACTTAAAAAAAACAAAACTGAAGTAGATACAACATATGGAAAAACAACCTGTGTTCATGGATCAGAAGCATTTTGTTAAAATGTCCATGCCACCTAAAGCCTTCTATAGAATCAATGTAATCACTGTCAAAATTCTAATGTCATTCTTCACATAGAGAAATGGAACCACCAAGGACCCCAAATAGCCAAAGCTATCCTAAGAACAAAGATGGAAGTATCACATTTCCTGATTTCAAATTATACTACAAAGCTATTGGAATAAACACAGTATTATTGGCATAAAGGTGAAACAGACCAATGAAAGAGTCGAGAGCTCAGAATAAAACCCATGCATTTTCAGTCAACTCACATTTGACAAGAGAAGAAACAACACCTAACGGGGAATTGGTATCTTTAAATGGTGTTGGGAGAACAATGCAGTAGAACAATGAAATTGGACACCTATTTTACAGCACTCAAAAAATTAACTCAAAATAGATCAAAGCCTTAAATGTAAAACCTGATACCAGGAAACTCCTAGGAAAAAATGTAGTGAAGAAGCTCTTTAGCACTCATTTTGGTAATGATGTTTTATATAGGTCACCAGAACAACAAAAAACCAAATAGGACTACATCAAACTTAAGCTTCTTCATAGCAAAGGAAACAATCAACAAAATGTAATGGCAACACAGCAAATGGGAGAAATTTGCCACCCATGTATCCAGCAGCAGGTTAATATCTAAAATATACAAAGAGGGGCGCCTGGGTGGCTCAGTCATTAAGCGCCTGCCTTCGGCTCAGGTCATGATCCCGGGGTCCTGGGATCGAGCCCTGCATCGGGATCCCTGCTCAGCAGGAAGCCTGCTTATCCCTCTCCCACTCCCCCTGCTTGTGTTCTCTCTCACTGTGTCTCTATCAAATAAGTAAATATTTAAAAAAAAAATAAAATATACAAAGAACACATTCAATCTAATTGTGAAATAGGCAGTGATACAGACATTTTCCCAAAGATATCCAAATAGCCAACAGGTACATGAAAAGATGCTCAACATAACTAACCATCAGGGAAATGCAACTCAAAACCACAGTGAAATAACATCATATACCTGTTAGAATGGTTATAATTAAGAAGACAAGAAATAAGGAGTGTTGAGGAAGATATGGAGAAAAGGGAACCCTTGTACACTGTTGGTGGGAATGTAAATTGGTTCAACCACTATGGAAAACAATATTAAAGTTACTCAAAAATTAGTCGATCTTTGATGTATTATATGGTAATTAACATAACATAATAAAATAAAATTTAAAATTAATTGATCTACTATAGGATACAGCAATCCCACATCTGGGTATATACCCAAAGGTAATGAAAATAAGGTAACCAAGAAATATATATACTCCCATGTTCATTGCAGCATTATTCATAATAGCCTAATATGGAAACAACCTAAGTGCCCATCAACAGATGAATGGATAAAGAAGATGTGATCTATATATGATAAATATACATCTCATATCTAAAAAATGAAATATTTGGCCATAAGAAAGGACATCCTACCATTTGTTACAATATGGATTGACCCTGAAGACATTACAACTAAGTAAGGTAAGTCAGGCAGAGAAAGGCACAGACTGTAGGATATCACTTATATGTGGGATTTAAAGAAGTCAAATTTGTAAAAAGAGTAGAATGGTGGTTACCAGGAAATGAGAAGTGGGGAAGGATGGATAGGACAGATGTTATCAAACGGTTTAAATTTACAATGAGTACATAAGTCCTAGAGATTTAATGCACAGTATAATGAATATACACACCAATACTGCTTTAGAATCAAACTTGCTAAGAGACTGGAACTTAATTATTTCAACCACTAAGAAATAACTCTAATGTGATATCGGTGCTAATTATCACTACAATGGCAATCACTACCACATAAAAATCAAATTGACATGTTGGAACCTTAAACTTACACAACACTGTTAAGTCAAACATATTTCAACGGGAAAAAGGAAAGTCAGTTTTTAGAAAATAAGCCAATACATATATAAAAACCAAAAAACAAATATTAAAGTCAACCAGCTTTGGCTTCCATAAAATGGGTCCACAACTTGTTTCTGAGGTGTTTAATGTTTCTCTGAGTCAAATCACTGAAGAAAATTTTATAGAGTAACCCAGGAAGCAGAACAATGATATCACCAATTAAAGTTACTAAGCCTTAAGTTGCATTCATATGATGATACAGCCATAGCTTAAAGAACAGCTAATCCATTGGCAATGAAGACAAACTGTCATTTACCTGACTTCTATAACAGAACTGACTTCAACTTACCATTATTATTGAGAAAGCTTATTAGAACATAAGACTTTGATGATAGAGTCCCAACTTTTTTCCTCCCAGAGTTTGCCAAACATGAATTCTTTCATACATTCTGTAAAATTCCTTACCATTTCAGTCTTAAAAAAAAATAAGCCACAAACTAGAGTATGAAATTCATTAAGTTCCATTTTAATCATTTGTCTCAGCAACCCCCCCTTCAACATTTATCCCAACTGTATTTAGTCTCATTCTTTTCCCCATTTACCCGTATCTTTCAAATTCTCAAGGTTCAAAAAAGGCAGTCTTCTTTCTGATTAACAGCTCACAAAATTCTCCCAGATGGCATTTTTCTACAGTTTTATTCTATTAGTTTGGGTATACTTACATCTTGCATTGTAAAACATTTTAAATCAATGTTTTCGGGGTGCCTGGGCGGCTCAGTTGTTAAGCGACTGCCTTCGGCTCCGGTCATGGTCCCGGGGTCCTGGGATCAAGGCCCCCATAGGGCTCCCTGCTCAGTGGGAAGCATGTTTCTCCCTCTCCCACTCCCCCTGCTTGTGTTCCCTCTCTCGCTGTGTCTCTCTCAAATAAAGAAAATCTTTTTTAAAATATTAAAACAAAAAAAATCAACGTTTTCATTGGTAATCTGTCAACTACCTTAGAAGAAATTCAAGGCCTGATGCTCTCTGTATGTACGATCAGAGCACCAAAAAGCACCATAAAATATATTTTGTATTAAATATGGCTTTTCCAATGAAGTAAAGCAACTGCACTCATCCACAGTTAACCAAGTAGCCAAAGGTGAAGTATAGAGTGAGGTGAGTCAAAGATCCAAAATAATCATATTCCAAATAGTCACTGAAATATGGATATGTGCATCCCAAATGCCTACATTTTATGAAAGGCAGTGTGTTATTAACAAAGGAGAACTGAAAGAATTACTAAAGAACAAAGCTAGTAATTCTAGACCTTGGATACACCTCCTGGACTGTATGTGTATATTCCCATCTGGTACTCCTCATCCATCTCCTTACCAGAACTGCTGCAGTAGGAAGGGTTAACAGGTCTTCCATTTTTATCAGAGCAGGCTATTGCTCGAAAGCGCATGCCTTTTCCACATTCCTTGCTGTCTCCTTGTACCCGATATCCTCGTTGAGGCTCCCTTCTGCCTTCTGGAAGAATGCAATCTGACCAGTTGCCATAAGGTTGAGATATAAATACATCACAAGGGCATAGTTCTGTTTCTATGAGAGGGTACAGGTCAGAGTCCTGGCATTTCTCTTTCTTCCTGCTTTTCCCTGTTCCAAAAAGAGACATTGAAATATTAATTTCACATCTGTTTTATTACAAGTCACATTATTGTCTTTACTAGTGTTTATTTACTAAATGTCAAATATAGGCTATATTTATAGCCTTCCCCTGCCCTTCTCCACTTTTTTTTTTTTTTTTTTTTGGCCATGAAAGCAAATCCTAGGACAATGGAAACAACTCCCAAAGCAACTGTGAAATTAAAGTTAATTTGAGGGGTGCCTGGGTAACTCAGTTGTTTAAGTGTCTGCCTTTGGCCCACGTCAGGATCCTTGCTCAGCGGGGAACCAGTTTCTCCCTCTCCCTCTGCCTGCTGCTCCCTAGCTTGTGTTCTCTGTCAAATAAATAAAATCATAAAAAAAAGTTAACTTGAAAAAAATTAAAAAATGGTTTTATGTTGATAGTGGTAAAAGAAAAAAAACTAAAAGATGTTTGCTATAGTGACTCAACAGCTAGAAAGCTTTTGTTAATTTATTTAGTATGATTTTCCCTATAACTTGGTAAGAACAGAGTACCTTGTCTCAGTTTTCCTGGAAATTAATGGTTTCCAGGGAAACCAACAAAACCCCAGAAATATTAACATCCTCTCTTGTTGACATACATTTTTGGAACCAGTTTATTCAAAGAACAAAATGATATCCTCCCATACAAGGGCCCTGGAGTGAGTCTAGGTGTCACTTGGGGTGTGGCAGACAAAATAGAACTTATTTTGGTCCTTGCCATCAGGCAGCTCACAAATGCTGACACAATAAAAGGAAATAAATGCTCCAATAATGCTGGGTAATTTAATCTGAGAAAAAGCTATGTTTCCAGTTTGAGACACCTTTATTCATATAAGTATTCTAGAATAGGACTTTACCTTTACCAATTGACTTTGATGGACCTTTTAGCTGTGATCCTGTCTTTGCGTAATGAGAATGCAGAATCATTTCCCACTGCTCTGAGTACTTGATACTCATGTTTAATGGCATTTCAAGTCAGCATGTAACTTGATTCAACTTTCCTGCCAACACACTTCCACTAGATTCCTAAAAATTTTCTAATAGATCTGATTATATTTTGTTTCCTCATTAATAAGTCATCAGCTTGAGTCTTGGCTGGTTATTAAAAAAAATGAAGTAGGCTGCTCTATTAGTCTTATTCCCAGTGTTTATAGGTGTTTTAGACATGCTGGATTCAAGCTGATGCATGGGATATTATCTCATTGTCAAATAGTTTATACACAATTTTACAGTTGCTGCCTGGATGATTGGCTCTATGGTCTGACATGTTGCTTATGACTACAATAAATAAGGATTCCTGCAGGGTCTGAAATGATCTTGCAAGAGCTTCAGCCATGCCACCATCTCTCTGGAAGGATGTATTCACTTGCCTCTACCATTAGGAGCACTTAATGAGAAAAAGTTTGAGAAACACAGCCTCATTCTGGCTGTGAGAATTTACTGGTTGAAAGATAGGTCAATGCACGGTGACTGGTTTCTTCCTACCAGCACTTAACATACCCAAGTCCCTGGTGCTTCTTAAATGTCCATAAAAAACTGTTGTCTCCATCTCTTCAATTTCTACTCTCTTCTCACTAATTTAAGCCTGGATACAGAGTCCACCTATTCCTTGAAACTACTTACTATTGACAAAGTAATAAAACAAATGAAGCCCTGGAATATCTTTATACCTTATCCTTCAGACTTAATTGTTTAATGACTATTCAGAATGTTGACCACACCATCATTGTTGAACACTGTACCTTACCTTTTTGTCCCTCATCCCTCCATTCCTCTGGTAAGATCTCATTTGTTTGTTGCATTATTTCCCCTCGCTACATCTCTTAACTGATGGGCTTTCTCAGGGCACGGCCCTAGGTTCTCTTCTCTTCTGATCCATTGCCTTCAGCCATTGAGTTTAAAGGACCCTCTATAACTCTTAAATTCTTACTTATTATCTCCATTCTAGATTTCTTGCTCGAGCTTCTGAGCTACAGACTGGAACCTAAAGGGCCAATCAAACTCAACCTGGCAAAATCCATACTCAATCTCTTCACACCCAGGCCTTCCTTTCTCCGTCTTCATTTCCCAATTATATCAACATGACCAAGTCAAAATCTAAAATATCACACTTGAATTCTATTGTATTACCTGCATCTGTTTAATGACAAAGATCTATCATTTCAAATGACTAAGCATCTCTTGAATCAGTCCTTGTTTCCATTCTGACCAATACCACCCATATACAGCCCATCTCCAAATTTCCAGGTTAAATCCCCACAACAGCTGCTTCTAGTATTTTATTGCCATTTTACTTCATATTCCCTTCATCTTCTCCCCACACTGCAGCTAGAAGCAGCTCACAAAGATGGAAGTCCGATCACATCATTCATCTACTGAAAACTCTTCAGTGACTTACCATAGTTCATGGAATAAAGTCTAGATCCCTTGCTATGGTCATCAAGGCTCTGCAGTACCGAAACAATTAGGACCTGCCTCCTGCCTATGTTGTGCCATTCTGCCTCTGGCATTTTACAAGCTAGACATACTGAGCATCTTTCCGTTCCTGGAAATTACTCATTGGTTTCTGGCCTTTGCATTTCTTACGCCAGAAATTTTCTTAAGTTCCAACCTCCCTCCATTGTCTAATTAATGCCTACTTGTCCTTCAGGTCCAAACTAATACATTACCCCTGCCAGAAAGCCATCCTTAAAACTCATCTCGGGTATGGAAAAGGTACTCTTCTGTACTTTCATTATCCTGCCTATCACAAACTAGGCCTTTCCAAGGATGTTCACACCTCTGTTCTTGGAATCTGTAATCATGCTACCTTCCATGGCAGAATGGACTTTGTAGATATGACTAGAATTATGGGCCTTGAGAGATTATTCTGGATTATCTGGGTGGGTCCAACCTAATCACATGGTCTTAAAATTAGAAAGCCTTTCCTAAGAGAGAATAGTCAGATACAACCTCACTGAACCTCAAGAAGGAAGAAGAGAGTCATGAGCCAAGGAATGTGGATAGCCTCTAGAAGCTAGGGGGAAAAAAACACATTTTCCCCTAGAGCCTCCAGAAAGGCATACAAAGTCACCAACATCTTGTTTTGAGCCTTGTGAAACTGAAGTTTGCTTTAGACCTACATGACTATGAGATCATAAATTTGTCTTTTAAAGCCACGAAATTTGTGGTAATTTGTTACAGCAGCAATAAGAAGCTAATGTAGCACCAATATGACAGATATTGTCACAAGTTCTATATTGTGTTTTAATTGTAATAAAATGACAGATATAGTCACAAATTCTATAATGTGTTTTAATTGTAATATAATCTCTAGCTTCCATTACACTGTAAACTCTTAAATTAGGATGTCTGTCTATTCCTAGTAGTATTCCAAAGGCCTAGCATGCATAAATGGTCAAGAAAAATGTTCATTAAGAAAAGGAGGCTTAAAAAAGTGGGGTGGGGGAGAAAGGGAAGACAAAAGAAGTAAGAGAGCAAGAGACAGGAGAAAGAAAAGTATTCATCCACAAGGTAACCAAAAGTTGCTGGCAGAACAAGTATTCTGTACTAATATATGCAGTCTCTGTATGTGGGACAACCTCCTTAATTACATGACATCACTGTTTGAAGAAGGATTTAAGTTAATACAGAAATGGTTCTCAAAATAAGAAATTATTAGTGGTCCTTTACTTTGATTACATTATAGTGGAAAAAAAAAATCAGCATTAGCCTTTGGATTCAGAACTTGTTTACTACTAAAAAAAACAAGCTAACAAGAAAACCAATCCCTAATACAACTGTAAAGACATTTCCCCCCCTTAAGTCAGAGGGAAATTTGTAACTGTTCCCACAATAACATAAAACTACAAGTATATATTAAATAGGTTTTATTTATCCAGCTATTTTGTATACTAATAACCTTAACAAATAATAGATTATTTTCAGCAATGTATAAAAACTGCTATAATTACCATTCAGTCTAAAACCTGTGATGATCTAGTTTAGGTATAACACCCAAGATACCCAGATATTGAATTAAAGTCCCCTGTTAAAAATGGAAAAAAGAAAAAGACACTAGATGGTCCCTCATTCCATGGAGTGGCTTGTATTTTTGTCTATGTGCTTCTTTATGTGTGTCTGTGTTAAAGAGAATCACACTGTTTTACAGTCTAAGTCCATGCCTTTTACTACCATTCATGTTAGAGATTACTTAAGTTTACCACCAAATTACAGGTGAGACCAAAATACAAACATAGTACCACAACAATAAAAATAAGTCTTAAGTGAAAAATTACAGTTCACTACTGCTCACTGCACACACAATATTTTTTCTACAACTCCTACATTTCATAAAATTGACCAGTTTTGGTGTTTCCAAGACATGATCATTTTGATCACTTGATCAATTGATCACACAAAGATCAATTACCCAGAAAAAAATCATAACCAATAATAATTTAGAAAAATTCTAAATAGTTTTTTAGTGGGAATAATTCTTGGGATAGTGTGTGCAGAAAATGTACAATGGTTCTTCCAATATTTACATAAAAAGTGTATTTTAAATAAGCTAAATGCATTAGTTTTGACAGTTCATAACAAACTGCACTAGCTCAATAAATAATCCTAGGTTTTTCAATATTCCCATTCTCAATTTGCAGGTATAAAATACCATTAATAAACTCTCAAGGAAAGAAAACTGGCCACTAATTAAAACCTTCCTGTCCTTCTAAAGGAAATTCTCATCTCAAAGATAAAGAGAATTGCCAGGATGATGACTTCTGAAGCCTTATGTATGAACGTGCACACAAAGTTTTACTGCTACCCCTGAACTTGATATTACTCCAAACACATTCTACGCCATTATATTCCCTTTAAGAACTTTTTCATCTTAGAAACACAAGCAATGTTGTGCAAAGTTATATATGCACAGATTTTTGTAGAAGAGAGCACAAAGTACAGCATATTTAGTTGTTTCTATTTGATTATATATTTTACCTACACTCACGAATGGGCTTCTGATTTGTGTGCAGAAACCCTGTTAAAGGCTCTCATTGATTAAGTAAATCCATTAGCGTGAGTTAAATTTAAAACATAATCTTGTGAGCCATACATTCAAACAAAGGGAATTTGAAACCAAGAGAATTAGCACTTGAACTGCTTATAAGAACAGATGGTCTTCTATGCTTAATTCTTCAATGTCAACAATTATATTATCCCAATGATTATTTTGGCATTTTTCCTTTTGGTCTTTATTACCTAAATTAAGTTTTCTGCATATTCAAATACAACAAAAGAAACTGTGGGATATTTATCTAGACAAGTAGTACATTACACTGCATCAATTATTTGTTTATTACAGGCAAAAATTGCTCCAGCACCTTAACTATTAATTGCTTTAATTTCCATTAAATTGCATGGATGTAAACAAAACCAAAATAATATACCACAAAAGAAGAACCTATATATGTAATTTGACTTTTATCTTCTACTAAAATTTTAAAATGTCAAATTGCTTGTAAAGTTATGGCAAAAGAGAATGATATAGATTAGACCTGCCTTTGATGTGTTTTACAAATCAGTCACTGCTTTCAACCCTGCTGAGATCCTGGCATGACCAAAATACCAGAAACCTTGCCATTAAATACTCCAGGGTAGTGGGTGGCTATGTTGCCATTTACCACTGTGAACATTATAAAGCCATATAAAGAGGAACTTCATAGCTATAGAATGGTTCACATCATTCACTTCACAGTATTAATTCAGTACATATCATGTGCCAGGCATAGGTGCAGAAGATACATAATGTCAGGGAGGGGCTGGGAAAAGGAGAGACCCGATATAATTTCTAGTCTTTCTGGAGCGTCCGTTCTCTTTGGCAGGTTCAGGAGTGCATCCCTTGTCTGAAACTAAGAAACGGAAGGCATACCCTACCTGTGAGCTGTCGCCGTCGACTTCGGGTTGTTTCACAGTTTGTGGAGCAGGGTGTAAACTTGGACCAAACTGTGAAGGTGCAGTCATCTCGACACGGGACTGTGCATTCTTGTACAAGGGGAGGCATGCCATTTGTCTGCTTGAGGCATTCTATCATTTCTGCTGACTGGTTATCATCAGAGACACAGGAGACCACTTTAAAAAAAAAATGGATTCTTTTGTTATCATTTTGATTAAATCAGTCTGCTGCTTATTTTTCAACAAAATAGCAGAATCCCCCAATGTTTGAAAATTTGGTTATCACCGATTATAAAAGGTGTTCAACACAGCTAACCTTATTTCTCTCTGGAAATTAAATGTTTATCATTGCCAGTGGAGGTTTCTGAAGATTTAATTGGTTTCATTATTAATCCAGTTTGGTTGCATGGACAGCAACCAAAATAACTTTCAATAATATTGTACATGATCTTGTGAGTATCTGATCTCTAGGGATGATGTAAAACTAGGAAAGAATGTGTAAGAGTGTAAGATAGGAGGACAAAAAATGGACAAAAAATGAATATCATGTGAATTCTTCCTAGATTTTAATTTACTTTGCTTGTTTGAATGGCACTTCTGGAAATGGTCCTATTTTCACTTCATAACCAGTATTTTTAAAAGTTTGTTGTCTATTAGTAAACTTTTTTTACTTATTAACATTTCAGGATTAAAATTTTAAGTAATTTGTTTTTTCAAATATAGGCAAAAATCTATCCAGGTAACTCCCATTACAGATATCCTATCAACTGCAGAATTCTTCAAACTTTCACACAAATTTTTTCACCTAGAAGATCTCTACTCAGACCATAAAATAACTAATGATCTTGAGGTAAAGAATTTATGAAGTTTAATTCTATATTTGATTCTTTGGCCTAATGACTTTTTATTCAATTATAAATGATATTTTTGTGTATCTTTTATTCATCCTAATTATGGAGTTGGTAGGAATGTGTCTTTATATTTTTTAGACCAGTATTTCTCAACCTTGGCAGTACTGATATTTTAGGTTGGATACTTTGTGTAGGTATTTGTTTCCTGTGCTCTGGAAGACATTTAGCAGTATCCCTGGCCTCTACCTACTAGAGACAGGCAGCACACCCCCCTCTAGACATGGCCCAAATGTTGCCCTGGAGTGAAAACTACTCTTCTAAAATGATTCCTCACCATGGAGATCTAGGAGAACACACAGATTCCATGGCATGACTTCAGACCTACTGCATCAACATCTCTGGGGGAGAATTCTAGGCATATTTTTGTCTTTAAGTGTCCCAGGTATGCTGCCTGTCCACCAACAACCCACATTTGGCACGGTGTCTGTGGGTATGGTATACGCTAACAGATATTTGCTGAATTCTTCATCCTTAAGAAATCAGTTTAGGATCATTTTTATGACAACTCAAATCTACCAAGTTACAAGGAATAAACATATCACAGCTTAGGATCAACGTTGTTAAGAACACTTTATATGAAAACTTCTATAATGCAGGGTAACTACACAAAGAGGCTCCATTTAATTGCCCATTCTTATATTCTGAACTCCTTTCATTATTCTGAGTGCAGAGAACAATTCAATCTGATTTTTTTTTTAAATAACTGAAAGCCAAATCCATCGAATGTTTTAGGACCAAGAAATTAGCTAAGATGACAACGGATGCATACACAATACTTCCCAATTTGTACACCTACTCGGTGGCAGGTGGGGTTATTCACTGGTTTTTATCTACATCCTAGGAATGAAATCCATTGCACATAAAGCCAACATCACCTGTGTTTGTTTTGTTGGGAATTTTACAGCTATTAATGATGAATACACCAACATACTTTATCTTAAGTAGGCTACAAGCAAATGTTATTTGAATTACATGTTTAGATAACCAACCTGAAATAAATTTAGGGGACATTTATCTTGCAAAGGTATTTTTCCCCCCAAGAGGACAATGCACTGATTAACATGAAGAGGAATGTTACATACTTTTAAAAAGCATTGCTATTTGAAATCCAAACCCCTATGTATACAGAAGTAAGGTATTTTTTCCAACAAAGTTTTTTTTCCCCACGAGTTTATGATTTGACAACTACGATAAACATTCGGTGATACCTTGAAATTCTATAAACTAAATTAGCAAACACTGATTTATGAATGCCTATATTGAGCTATTTTGCATTAATGAAAGAAAGCATCAAAAATAAAGAATAGTGATAGTATACGGTGTAATTCAGAGACATTCTTATCAAATGGTATGAATACAAATTCTAACTCCAAATACCTGAGAGTTACATGGAGTTATTTAATCTTTGTGCTTAGACTCATCTTTAAAATGATTATAAGAGAACCTATAACAAAGAGTTGTGAGAAGGCTTAAAACAGTATCTCTCATACACTAAACATTCAATAAATGCTATTGACTATTATCCTTTTGTATTTAATTTTTAATTTCTATTTTAAGTCAAACAGGCTGATAGTTCTCCTCTCAGGTACACATGCACACACTGTCACTCTCCATGGCTCATTTCTTCCTTGGCCATCCTCAGAATCTGAGGGATAAAGGAAAAGAGAAAAGCATGGTTGAATCTCACAGGATTCTGGCACTACACTTAAAAACCACCATTAGTCAAAAAATATGTCAAATATGCCCTAAACACATTCACTACATTGACAGGGCTATGTAGGACAAATCAGATCCATTGCTCTCATACAAACTGATGTATTAGACTAGTCTAATAGAGACATTAGAGATCTCTAAGGGCCAAAGAAAACATTGACAGTTGTAGCTTGAAGTTTCATGACACCCACATTAACCTCAAGACCACTTCTGTGTTACTACTGATGGTCTATTAACTCAAGGGTGAGTGGCAACTGATACACTACAGATCATACAATCATCTGCTTACATCAGGCATTATGGTTCTCAGATTTCTCCAAGTTCAAGATTCCAATTTCTTTTCAAGTGTGGAAAAGAATTAGACATAGACACAATAGACACAGAAACATAAATGAGGGGTGCCTAGGTGGCTCAGTTGGTTGAGCAAATGACTCTTGGTTTTGGCTCAGGTCATGATCTCAGGGTCGTGAAATCGAGTCCCCTGCTAGGTCCCACTGGATGGGAAGTCTACTTGGGATGCTCTCTCCTCCTCTCCCTCTGCCCCTCCCCACCTCCGCCTCGCAAGTGTGAACACACGCACACTCTCTCCCTCTCAAATAAATAACATTTAAAAAAATATGAATACTTCTTGGGAATGTTCGAGTATAAAATCATTTAATAAGCATTTACTGGAAGACTGGATATTGAACTATACCAGCGGGTAGGAAATTACTGAAGAAAAACAAGCATAAAGTCTGCAGGACTGGAAAACCAGGATATGAGAAGATATTTGGAGTAAATGAGGGTAACTAGTAGCTAGTGGCACAATCCAATTCAGAGTCTCCTTCCATTAGGCAACTGGCGAAAGGATATTTTTAAATGTATTAATTTTAAATCTACAATATAGTTCTTAACCACTAAAGGTGACTCTGACTCCTTAAGTCAGAAAACTTATTTTGAGAAAACAGAGGTGGAAAATTATACTGATAAAATTATAAGCCCTGGTGTCAAACAGAACTAAGAGTGACTTTTTTTTTTTACTGTTACCTTGGACAAGTTATGTAAAAAGACTCCATTAACTCATCCATACAATGAGAATAACACCTACACCATATAATAAATTGATGCAGATGAAGTACTTAGCACAGTACTAAGCACTCAGTACATGTGCCCAGAGACTGATTTTTTTTTTTTTTGAGAGTGTGTGCGAGCAAGCAAGCAAGTGCACAAAAGTGGGGAGAACAGAGGGAGAGGGAGGAGGAGAGGGAGAGAATCTCAACCAGACTCTGTGCTGAGCAGGGAGCCCAAAGTGGGGCTCCATCTCACCACCCTGAGATCATGACATGAGCTAAAACCAAGAATTGGACTCTTAACCAACAGAGCCACCCAGGTGTGCTGTGGAGAATGACCTATTTTTATGATAAAGTCTAGTAAAAAAGAAAACATAACAAGTACCAGGAAAGAAGAATCCAACGTCACTTGACTTGGTTCAGGGAGAATTTTCCAGATCCCACTATCAATACTCTTGGCCCCTAAGAAGTATAACTGGAGCCTCCCTTCAATTACAATATTGAAGTCAGTAGCGTATTCCAAAGACTGCACGGCTCTCCTAAAGATACTGTCTATTTCCACGTGATGCTCTGTGCATTCTGCTAATTGTGTATAAAAGTGAGGCTTATAAGCTACCATAGGAGATCAGAACTCCAGAGAAAGTCAGAAACTGAAATCCAAGGCCTATTGGGAATTCTTTCCAGAAGCACCAAGATCAAAATCCTTAACAACTCTTAAGAGTTTCATGAGAGGACAGTGAACATTTATACAGAGGAGCACTGGCCATATTTGCAGCTTCACACCTCACTCACTGAGGGGTTATATCCAGCACAAACGCATACCATACCTCTCTATGCTAAAGTTGAATTCAAAAGCATTTTAACATCTAAGGTTTAGGGGGATTTATCAAAATTTTCTGACCATTAGAACCATTTGTGCATCATTACTGAGCAGGAGAGGAATGAAATAAGGCAAAGAAATATAGCTTATGTCCTAAAATCAGAGATACATCTTGGAGTCATTTTCTCTACTTCTGTGGTGGTCTAAATATTAGACTTTGCTTATACACCTGGATCTTTATTACCTACAGCTTGTTCCCTATTGATCTCATTGAAATTGATCCATTCATCCATCCAGTCACAATATATAAGCAACTATGGGGAGGGGGCGGAGCAAGATGGCAGAGGAGAAGGAGACCTGGATTTCCTCTGGTCTCAGGAATTCAGCTGAATAGGGATCAAACCATTCTGAACACCTATGAACTCAACAGGAGATCAAAGATAAGAATAGCAACAACACTGAACAGAAAAGCGACCACTTTCTGGAAGGTAGGACACGTGGAGAAGTGAATCCGAGGCAATACTCGGGAGGATAGACGGCGGGGAAGGGGGCCTCTGTCGGCGGCTTCTGGCAAGTGATAGAGCCGCGGAGCACAAAATCGGAACTTTTCGAAGTCGGCTCCACTGAGGGACGTCGCTCCAGTGGCTAAGCTGGGAGTGGAATCCTTGCGGGACAGTGTGGTCT